TGAAATTTATTGAGAAAAAATATTTTTATAAAGATTTCGATGTTGATTGGCCATCTGTTCGCTTTACTTTTGGTGGTATATAAATGATTGAATCATCATTATCGTCATCATCTTCATTTTCCACCGGCTTTTCATCAACCGAACTGTTGTTCAGTTTTGAATGATTCCGGTTCAAGAGACAGTAACTGTCATGATCCGGATTTGTAATGATTAAATCCCAATTGAAACATGGGATTTCTTTAAAAATGGTTTTCAATAATCGACGTACTTTGCTTCCGTCGGTAAATTTCATTGAATATTCGAATGGATGTTTGTCATTCAATTCGAATCTGATAATTCTATCATTTACTGTGTAAATGTAGCTGATTTCATCCAATCTTATCGATTTATATCGATATTGATTCTCTTGATTGATTCGAATCATAAGTACAAAATCCGATCCATCAGTTGGCCAGTTATGTGTAAGTATTTTATGCCATTTTTCAACTGGCCAAAATTCCGATAAATGCATGAAATGTAAATCACATTCCGTGCATAAAAAATTTGGTGCCGAATTCTCAGATGGCTTCAAATTCTTGCCATACAATTGTACGACATCCCATTTTTGGTGGTTTTGCATTTTTGGTGTTGTTTGTAGATTTTTAAATTTTGAATGATAATGATTCAAAATGTAAGCATTTGTATCGTTGAAAAAATTGTTTCAATTTTAATGAAAACATGGCCGAATTTATACTGGAAATTTGTTAATTTGAATATTGAAACAATGAAAAAATTCAACAGAATTAATTAATAATAGCATTTCAAATATTGTTGCTAAATGTCGCTCGAGCTTGACTTTATAAATAGTATACGCATTATATCAGAGCCAGAAAATTATATTTGGCCAATTTCTTATTCATTGATGTCAATTTTGATTGATCGTTGATTTTCCTGTCCGAAAATCTGATTTATGCATTATTCGGAATTCGCGATTATTCATTCGTCAAAAATCAGAACCGATATTTCTAAAATTAAAATATTTCACAGTTTTGTAAAATTAATCTAATTGTGTAATTGCTAGTGACACACTTGGTTAATCGGAGATAGGAAACAGGAAAACAGCAACAGGCAATGTTGCCAGATGTAAATGATGTAGTATTTTTCATTATTTTTTATAAAGATCAATTTAAAAAATTTATTTAGAAAATATTTAAAAAATTAAAAAAATTCAGTATCATCACCTGAATGGTGGCAAAATGGTTCAGGTGGTACTTGTTCTTCATTATCATTTTTGAATTGCTCATTCAAAAATGACTCCATCCAACTCATCTAAGTCATAGAAGAAGTCTGGATCATCATCATCGTCCAGTCTTTCTATTATATCATTTTTTTCTTTTTCTTCAGCAATCGATGTTGGTTGTATCATTGTTGAAGGCATTGTTGTTGTTGTTGAAGTCGATGGACCTGCTTGAGCGATTTGCAGGTCCATATTTTCAGCTTTAGTTGATGGCCTTTGCGGTTGTAACGGTATACGCCATTCATCAAATTCTTCTTCAGCTTTTTGTTCTTCAGATTTCTGTTGAGGAACATTTGCTGGTTTGAAAAGATTGGAATTCAATAGCCAATAACGATTTTTTTCAAAATCTGTTATTGCATCCCAACGAAAAATTGGTATCTGTTGATGTATAACATTCATTAAAAATGGAAGTTTTCTTTCATTAGAAAATTCCACTGAATATTCATGTCGAATCGGCTCATAAAAGCTGAATTCGATTTTAAATTTACCAACTGAATTGATTCTATACACTGTGTTCATAAAAATTGATTTGTATTGATCAGCTGGGTTGCGACTAGGTTGTTTTGAAATTCGGAATACAAAAGCGTAATCCGAACCATCAGCTGGCCAATCATGAAAGGGTATTGTATGCCAATACTCTTCTGCCCAAAAATTGGATTTATGTACGAAAAAGAATTCGCAATTTTTCCATGATTTTGTCACTTCAGGTAAGAATACCCCATTACGCGGAACAAAAGTAATTTCCGCTAATTGCACAATATCCAATGGTTGTTGTTTTTGCATTTTTTCAGTTTTTTGATTCAAAGTAAGACTTTTTTAATAATGAAATGATTCAATTATGTAAAAAAGTAGTGTTTTGAAATAAATGATTCCATCTATTAGGAAAATATTGCCAATTTTATACGATATTTTAACAAAGAAAAAAATTAATTAAATAATTGAATTATAAGGATTTTTGATGTAATATTGTTCAAACTGCAAATTTTTGTCCTTCAAGCCAAAAATTCAAAATGGTGTGGCGATAAAAACGATGTCTAAAGGACAATTAATTCTGCTTGATTCTGAACCATCCTTTGGCCAAAGATGCCAATCCAAATGATGGCGTTGATTTTGCCCAAAAATCTGACTCATGAATTAAATACAATGGAAATTCAGTCCACGCAATTCGCGGTTGGTATCCCCCGTTTCGGATACGTATTTTTTAATAATGTCAACATTTGGCATATGATTCATTTTTTCTATAATTTTGGTTCGTATTCAATTTTTCTTGGATAATAAATAAACAATAATGATTGGTAATTGGATTGCTGATTATCCAATCCCAATTGAAGCAAGGTATTTTTCTATTAATTATCAAACAATGTTATCACATTTTCGACATTTGAGAATTCAATCGAATATTCGGATTTGATAACATTTATCCGAATTATAGTGGGCTCCAATGTGTGAATGAAATTTATTTCATTCATTGCAATTGATTGATAAGCATAATTGAAGTTTTGTTTAAATCCAATTACTATGGCGTAATCGGAACCGTCTTTTAGCCAAACATGCCAATCCCAGTTAAAACATGGGATTCTCTGATTAATACGATCAAACAATTTAATCACATTTTTGATATTGAATTTAAAAGAAATTTATTAAAACAAATATAAAAAAAGTATAAAAAAAATTCAACAATTTGATGTTGATTGGCCACCAATTCTTATTGATGGTGGCAAATGATTTTGATCATCATCATCATCATCATCAAATTCTTTAATATTATTCCTGTTATTTTTAGAGAAATTTATGTTCAAAAGGCAAAAATTATTCATATTGAAATTGGTTATAATCATATCCCAATTAAAACATGGGATTCGACGATAAATGATATCGAATAATGATATCACTTTTTGAACATTGGTGAATTCTAATACGAATTCGAATTGTACAGTATTTAACTTGACTGTCAACGGATCACATGTGTGGATAAAATCCACTTGATTCATTGTGATACTTTTATAATTGTATTGCTGGAATTTATTTTTTAATCCAATCACTACAGCATAATCGGACCCATCTCTGGGCCAAGCATACCAATCGATATGGCGGCGCTGTTCTGGCGCCAAAAATTCGGACTCATGTACAAAATAAAATGGACATTCAGTCCATGCCACGGTGGGTTCGTAGCTCCCATTCGGGACGCGTACTTTTTCCCCAAATTTTATGATGTCAAAAGCTTGCATGTGATTCATTTTAAAAAAAGTTTTGAACTTTGTATTAAGTAAGATGTTCTACGATTAAGTGATTCAATATGATAGCCAATTTCGTAGCGTCTTCAACTGGTTTGGTTACAGAGAAAACATTACCAAATTTATACCATCTTTTAATCCGTTGTTTGAATATTATTTCATTTGAATTTTTGCTTATTAATTAATATTGATTGTTGATTTTAATTTTGTTTTTTTAAAATTAATTTTTTGTTCTTGTTCCAATTCATTAAATTTATTTCATACATTTGAAAAAAATTAAATAAAAAAATAAAACAATGAGCCATATTTTTTGTATTAATAAAACTTTTTAATAGTAATAATTTTATAATATTTTTATTATTGTTTTGATGATGATTGACCACCAATTCTTGGCATTGGTGGTGGAATGAATTGAAATTCATCATTTAAATATTCTTAATCGTCTTGTCCATCATAATTTGATTGATTATTTTTTTTTGAATAATTTATATTAAGTAGACAAAAATTATTCAACTGAACATTGGTTGTTATAAGATCCCAATTGAAGCATGTGACAGTGTTATTACATGTTTAACGTCGGTGAATTCGAACAGATATTCATTTTCGATGACATCTATCTTAACAGTTATTGGATCACATGCCTGAATGTAATCCACTTCATTCATAAAAATACTTTTAAAATCCATTTGATTATATTTATTTTTCAATCCGATAACAATAGCGAAATCAGATATGCCATCTGATGTGTAGTCGATCTTGTGGTGACCAAAAATCAGATTGTTGGTGCACCACATGAAATAGACAATCTGTCCATGCAACTGTGGGCTCATATGTGAAATCGGATACACGAATCTTTTTTCCGAATTTCACAATATTTTAAAAGTAACACTCTGCCAAAAAGATGGCACAAATTGATTCATTATATTTTTTTGTACAAAAACAGCACGTGTTTGTTTTAGAACTTTTTTTTGTTTGCGCGACGAGCAACCCGTACAATTTTATTTCAATTTTTAAGAGAAAATGATTCGTTACTCNTTTGAAATTCATTTGATTATATCTATTTTTTAATCCGATAACAATTGCAAAATCAGATATGCCATCTGATGTGTAGTCGATCTTGTGGTGACCAAAAATCAGATTGAACCACATGAAATTTTGTTTGTTTGCGCGACGAGCAACCCGTACAATTTTATTTCAATTTTTAAGAGAAAATGATTCGTTACTCAAGATAAGATAAGATACGGATAACAGTCTAGGCGTAAAAGAAATATTCCAAAAATTTAAAATTTTTAAAAGAAAATTTATTAGAAAATAATAGAAAAATTTAAAAAAATTAAAAATCATCGCCAAATACAATTTCATCCAATTCTTCTTCATCCCAGAATTGGCCATCGTTTTGACCATCATCGATGATCATAATTTCCGTTTGTTCAACTAGAACATCCATTTCTGTTGTTGGTAGTGGCATCGAATATGTTGTGCATNCATTTTATAACTGTCTGAAATTTCGATTGCACATTCGAATTTCAGTGCATTGATAATAATGGTTCGATGATCAATTGAATGAATGTAATTTACGTCATTCATTGCAATGCTTTTATAATTGTATTGTTGGAATTGCTGCGGAATTCCAATAACGATGGCATAGTCTGAGCCATCAGTGGGCCATTGATGATAAGCAACAAATCTTCGTTGCTCATCAGTCCAAAAATCCGATGCATGCATAAAGTATATCGGACAATCATTAAATGAATTGGTGGCCTGATATCCACCATCGCCTGGGATTTTTATCATTTCCCACACTTTCACCACATCAAAATGTTGTTTATTTTGCATTTCCATTTTAAATGATTTTGATTCAATATTATGATGAAAAAAAAGATTCAATTTGGAAATAAGTTGGTAGTGTATAATGATTTGATCCTAAGGAAAACATTAGCAAATATATACAATTTATAATCAATTGTTTCAATATTTTCCGTTTGGATTAAGTAACTTTTTTAAATTTATTTTTTAATTAATCACAACAATTAATTAATTCTAATTTAATTGATGCAAGGACCACCCATTTGACGGTAAGAGGAATAAAATTCTTGTTTCAATCATCTTCGTTTTGCTGTTGTTCAATTTGATTGAAATCGCTACATTTTAAATGATAACGATTTAGTAGGCAATATTTGTTATGTTTTGAGTTGGTAATTATCAAATCCCAATAGAAACATGAAATTGTCTGATAAATTATATTTATTATTACTTTCATTTTTTCTTCACTCGAAAATTGAATTGTGTATTCAAATTTGTTTTGTACAGATTTAGTGGCCGAGGAGTGAGAGGTAAACACTAAACTTTGATCGACTATGACTAATGACTATTCATCAACCAAAAATCTATAGACTAAAGTTGTTTTTTTTTGTCTAGAGGTAAAGACGAAATCAGCGTTGGAGAAAACGATAAACAAAGTTTTTTAGAAAAAATTTTATTGAAATTAAGCAAAAATTAACAAGATTTGAACATTTGATGAAAATCGAATCCAAGCATCTTTTTTATGGAAAAAGAATCCTCAAGGTCCCATTACACGAGCGCAATTGCCTCAGAGATTTTACTTGAGATGTGGGCGGAGCGAGATGGCCTCATCGGTCGGTCTCATTCGAGCTAT